TCTGTGAATGACAGAGGCCTCATACAGCTGCTGGTAACCCAGCTTTTTTCTACTTGTGATATTTTCTAAAACTAATGTATAGGAAAGTTTAACAAAACTTTTTTTTTTCATCGCAAGAGGTTGTGTTTAATTTTGCCACATGTACCTGTGACACACATCAACATGTTTAGTTAGTTTAGAGTTTTGAGATGGGACAGCAGTGATGACGTACGTTACAATAATGGGGCTAAACTTGTTGACATGCGCTACAGCGCCCCCTACTTTGATCTCTGCCTTCATGAGACATTGGCTTAGTTTAGAAATTTCACTCTCAGTTTGTTTCCACCCTGATAAGCCTACGTTCCCATCCACGTTTAGCCCAAAAGTTCTCATGGTTGACCCCAGACGTGTATTTTCGGAATGAGATCACGTCTGGCTCCGCAACACTAGGTGTGAGTCAGATATTGTAAAGCTGACTAAACGTTTCCCCTCAGCACACATAGCAAAATTTGACTCTATTATGGTTCTATGACTCTATTATGACTACATATTTTGCGCCATTGATCGGCTCCCGCTGTCAGCCAAATGTAAGGAATATCAGGCGATCACTGATTACCTATTTAGGATAAAAATTGGCCAATTCTGATCTTTCCATCCTTAGATAATAATGTTTTGCACAGTCTGAGAAACCAAACACGTCTTGGCTGATCGACTACATTTTGGGTGAAGTGGGGACTCCGGGGGGGGGGGATGGTGAAATTTGATTTTTTTGCTGAACGATCGCTTTATTGTGTGGATATGTGACTGATATATTAGCGCTAATGTCTGAGTCTGAGCTGGAGACGGCGCTCAGCCTGCAGACGCTTCACACTGCGGAGTATAATAGAGCTCTGGAGCCAAAGCTATTCAGCGCAGAGTAGCGCGGTGCCAGAGAACGCACACACACACACACACAACATGCACATTTACACAGGCATTAGCCAGAACTTATAAGAGTGCGTCAGGGTTCATAAACCTCCGAGCATCTGCACACACACAAACTGGAACGGAGAGACGATCACTGAATGCTCTGCTGATGTCTCTCATTAGCACAGAGAATAAATCTGCTGCAAACTTGGAGCTCATCTTACTCTAAACTGTGTGTGTGGACTTTTTTTCATACACTCACACACTGCTGCTGTTGTTTCTAAAGTGTTGTTTAACCCCTTGCATGGCCAGGGCTCAGCAGTGGGCCCAAAGTTTTATTACACACTACTATGGCCTTAGAATAGCTTAGCCAGTTTGTGGTGCTGAATAATAGGCCTTAGTATGTAATAAGCCTGAGATTTAAGGGGTTAAGTTGAAGTCTCAGATAAGTGTTATCTTATTATTTCTCCTCAAAACAATACGATTTGATTCGATTCTTTAGGAAACGATTCAGTGAATCGTAAAATCTCACATTTCACCTGGACTCGATTGTTTTTTATGTTGCTGGAGGAACCATTCTCACTGTATTGGAACACGGACAGTCGAAAACAAAACCGTCCTTCCTTTATTTCATTTCCATAAAATTAAAAAATATTCATTTTTCAGTATGAGAAATAGGAAAACATTTTAACAGAAGCCTCAGCGATTTAATATAATATCAGAAATTTAGCGTGTTCACCCTTTAGCTTTATTTCAGCTTCTCTTCTTTTCAGAGGACTTGCTTTCAGTTTCAAAGACATCTGCGAGGATATTTTTCCAGTCTTAGAAGTTGGTTGCTCTTTCTGCTTCTCATGATGCAGATAGAAGCAGGTGTAAATATAGACTCCTCAGTCCATAAAACCTCACTGCACATCTGAGATGGCCAGGTTTGGTGTTCAAGTGGATATTTTCTTTTTCGTCTATTTCCTTTTCGCAGTAAGGGCTTCGTGACATCTACACATTCTTTCTGATCCATAGTATTAAGTTGTCTGGAAGGATAGACCAAAACACCTGTAGATGTTTTTAGATCTGAGGCAAGAGTGGAACTGACTGTTACTGGTTACTGTTGGAGGCCTAGCAGAGCAACAAATCAGAAGTAGATCTATGGAAAAGTCATTGTTACTGACTGGTAACAGTGTTATTGTCACAGTCACTGTCACTGTTGGAGGCCTGTCAGAGTAACAAATGACAAAAAGATCTGTGGAAAACAGTCAGCGTTACTAATCAGTAACAATGTTACTGTCACAGTTACTGACTACTTAAACAGGCCTAGCAGAGCAACAAATGACAAGTAGATCTATAGAAAACAGTCAATGTTACTGACTAGTAACAGAGTTACTGACTAGTAACAGTGTTACTGTAAGAGTCACTGTTACTGATTACTGTTGGAGGCCTTTCAGAGTAGCAAATGACAAAAAAGATATATGGAAAACAGTCACTGTTACTGACTAGTAACAGAGTTACTGACTAGTAACAGTGGTACTGATTAGAACAGTGTTGCTGTTACAGCCGCTATTACTGATTACTGTTGGAGGCCTATCAGAGTAACATCTATGGAACACAGTCACTGTTACGGATTACTAACAATGTTACTGTTACATTTATTGTTACTGATTACTGTTGGAGGCCTGTAAGGGTAAAAAATGACAAAAAGATCTATAGAAAACAGTCAATGTTACTGACTAGTAACAGTGTTACTGACTAGTAACAGTGTTACTGACTAGTAAAAGAGTTACTGACTAGTGAAAGTGTTACTGTAACAGTCACTGTTACTGATTACTGTTGGAGGCCTGTAAGCATAACAAATGACAAAAAGATCTATAGAAAACAGTCAATGTTACTGACTAGTAACAGTGTTACTGACTAGTAACAGTGTTACTGACTAGTAACAGTGTTGCTGTTACAGCCACTATTACTGATTACTGTTGGAGGCCTATCAGAGTAACATCTATGGAACACAGTCACTTTTACGGATTACTAACAATGTTACTGTTACATTTATTGTTACTGATTACTGTTGGAGGCCTGTAAGCATAACAAATGACAAAAAGATCTATAGAAAACAGTCATTGTTACTGACTAGTAACAGTGTTACTGTTAAAGTCACTGTTACTGACTGCTATTGGAGGCCTAGCAGAGCAACAAATGACAAGTAGATCTATGGAAAAGTCACTGTTACTGACTAGTAACAGAGTTACTGTTACAGCCAGTGTTATGGATTACTGTGGGAGGCCTGTCAGAGTAACAAATGACAAACAGATCTATTATAGACAGTGATTACTGTAAGAAGTATATGTGAGAGTTAAACCCATGAACACCAATGACTACTACTGTAGTACTGAATTTGATTGGTGCCATACAGTACTGAATTTTAATACCCAGCCCCATTTTTACATTCATATACATAAAGATTTTTGAAGACATTTTCGTGTTACACAGTATGCACTGCACTATTTAGCTTTTTGCTAGGTTTAAAGTTGGAATGAACAAAAAGCACCAGCGAAACAACAGTGACATAAAAAAAAAGGCTGAAAAACAAGCAGCAAAATAATTATTTTGGACAAAAATAGACTATTTAAGAAGGAACAGGAGGAAAAATTGAGCCATTTGGTAAAAATAAATGGTAAAATAAGAGAATGGCTGCTCTAGCCCCCTCCTGGCCTCTGTGTAGTTTCTGCGAGGTCACGGTTCCTCAGGCGTGGGTTTCTCTGGAACGTAATTTGGACGCTGGTCAGATTGTCTGGCAGGACACGCCAGGAGATGAGCGATTTTTTTCCCCTCCCGTTCTTTTGCACTTTTTTTTTATCTCCTCATAAAGTCAACAGGTGGATCGTGTATCGACAGGTGAAACCCACCTGACCCCGCCGAGAATGAAAGAGCCTCTGTGTGTGTGTTTGTGTGTGTGTGTATACACTGCACACTCTCTCTGTCACATACACACACAGGGCAGTGAGGTGTGTATGAGTGAGTGTATGGCAGGTTCTTCAGCCCAAGGTCGAGTGTGGTTGGAGATAAAGCAGAGGAACATCAGCCTGACTCAGTTCTTCATTTTCTCCTTCTGGGAGATATTCGGTAACTAACCCGAGCTCAGAGATAAAGGTGTGAGGTCAGATATCACACATTAACCTTGAATAACCCTCACAGGTCAGTAACACACACACTGCTTATGGCCTTCAGGAACTTATTTACACTGTGGGTTCTCTAAGGAACGGGATGGAGGCTGATTTGCTTCTACCGACAATCACGAAAGGTCCCCTGATATCAGGGTGATCTTGAACGATGACCTCAGATTGTCCTGGTGTGTGGGGCGTCTATAATCCAGTCTTTACTCCTCCGATCTACTCACAGTCCAGTTGGGGTCGCCCCAGTTGTGGAATTTTAAATATTAAACATGTTCAATATTTACGACTCAGTATCTTCTAGTGTGGGGACTTTAATGCCTAATATTTGTGGGGTCTCTCACGTGTGGTGTTGGGGTCTGTGGGACCCGTTTTCAATGTTTACCAAAAGAAAAAATGATGTGATTTATTGTTATATAAACCCCAGATTTCTTGGCCTTTGCTCATTTTCTGTGACGAACATATAAAATAACCCATTTTCAGTGTCTTCACTCTGTTCACCCCCCACACATTTATATTACACATGTGGTGTTGGGCTGAACCCACAGGGAACAAAAGTGTGGAGGTGCTGGTCTCCTCCTACATGGCCTGCTGTTAGTGTGTGTGTGTATGTGTTTGTATGTGTGTGTGTGTGTGAGGGTGGACAACATGGACAGGCTGCTGACTGGCTACAGCTGCTAAAGGAGAACCCTACGCTGGACACTTGTGATATTTTGAACATCTGGCATTTTTACATAAATTGTTATGGCTGTATTGATTAAAAAAAAAACAATTACGTGGTGGGTCCATCAGACCACTGAGTAACAACAACACAAATACCACACAAGGGCTAAAGACATGATACATTATTAATCATTTTCTTACATTATTGGAAAATTGCTTTAATTGATTGCTTTAATGGTTTCAGGATATTTTTAATCAATATATCTCTCTCTTTCTCTCTTGCTCTCCCTCTAGGTGTATGTGAATGGAGAGTGGGTGACTGGTATAGGGGAGGGGGGCAGTTTTGGAGAGTTGGCGCTGATCTATGGAACCCCCCGTGCTGCCACTGTTAAAGCCAAGACTGACCTGAAGCTGTGGGGAATTGACCGGGACAGCTACCGCCGCATACTCATGGTACATACACACACACATACACACACACACATACTCCCTGGCCCAGGGATGGATTACTGACCAGGCCAGTGGAGTCAGTGCCCAGGGGCCTCAAGGGGACCACAAGGCCCGAGGTGTTTGACACTAGGGACAGTCCTCTGCAGATACAAAAATTAGATGAACCAATAGCCCTTATGTGTGATGACTAAATAGATGCCCATCCAGTGGCACCATTTAAATCAATTAAACACCCCCATAACATAAAGTAAACAATTTTTTTGGTTATTTTTGCGTCATTTGTCAGAGTGTGGGGCAAGGGGGCTCCAGAGACCCTTGTGCCCATACTCATGAGACCATGATCTGTCAATGCCCTCGACATTTTATTAGAAACCCCTGTCTTACTGATTTACAGCTAGAGACTGTAGCCTTTCGGTTGATGCACAGTTTGTGTTTGACATCAGCTGATCTAAGCTCCGCCCACAAATGCATTCTTTCGCAGCTACTGTCACAAGGTTGGAGCAGCTTTACAGAATGCTGGTAAAACTCCTATTAAAACTGACAAGAAACTAACACACACTCAGTTTTGGTAAAATATGTAGATTATGTAGATGTTGGTCCACATGGAATGATTAGATAATGTTAAGTTTGCGTATAAAATGCTACACTACCGAGCTGAACTGTTGTTTTAGCTTACCAAAACCAAAAGGTAAGTGTTTTTAATAGAGTGGCCAGTGAGTGGAACTTCAAGGTAGGTATTTCTAATAAAGTGGTCAGTGAGTGGAAGTACAAAGTAGGTGTTTCTAGTAAAGTGGCCAGTGAGTGGAAGTTCAAGGTAGGTGTTTCTAATAAAGTGGCCAGTGAGTGGAAGTACAAAGTAGGCGTTTCTAGTAAAGTGGCCAGTGAGTGAAAGTTCAAGGTAGATATTTCTAATAAAGTGGTCAGTAAGTTGAAGTTTAAAATAGGTGTTTCTAGTAAAGTGGCCAGTGAGTTGAAGTTCAAGGTAGGTATTTCTAATAAAGTGGTCAGTGAGTGGAAGTTTAAAATAGGTATTTCTAATAAAGTGGTCAGGGAGTGGAAGTACAAGGTAGGTGTTTCTAGTAAAGTGGCCAGTGAGTGGAAGTACAAAGTAGGCATTTCTAGTAAAGTGGCCAGTGAGTGGAAATTCAAGGTAGGTATTTCTAGTAAAGTGGTCAGTGAGTGGAAGTACAAAGTAGGTATTTCTAATAAAGTGGCCAGTGAGTGGAAGTACAAAGTAGGCGTTTCTAATAAAGTGGCCAGTGAGTGGAAGTACAGGGTAGGTGTTTCTGATAAAGTGGCCAGCGAGTGGAAGTTCAAGGTAGGTGTTTCTAATAAAGTGGCCAGTGAGTGGAAGTATAGGGTAGGTGTTTCTAATAAAGTGGCCAGTGAGTGGAAATACAAGGTTTCTGTAACAGCACTTTTGGGAACCAAGTAGATTTGCAGGTGAAAGGTATCACATAACGTACCAGCCATGTAAAGTGTAAAGTCTGAAGCATTAGAGTAACACAAATTACAGCACTTTCTCAATGGAATTCATTCATTCAAAATAATCTTACACCTTATTTTGCAGAACAGCAGCCTCACATCCAGCTGTGGGAGCCAGACACTAGCCAACACACTCACACACACACACACACACACACACACACAGACACTTCCTGGTGCTGTAGCTTATCTGCAGGAATGTCCAAATGTTTAAAGTGGAAAGACGAGGTGGTGATCCCCCACCTGACCCCAACATGAATGAAAAATGATAGAAGAGGAGGGGCTGGGGGGTTGGGGGCAGAGGCTGTTTAATACACTCTACTGATCAAATATTTGGACTCAGTAAAAGTCTTTAATTTCATATTAATATGTTTTTGATTTTATTCAGTACTGTCTACAGGGTAGACTGAAATATTATAAACTACACACCAAAATATATACAATCAAATGCAAAAGTTTGAACACTCCCAGTCAAATGACTTGCTTTGCTGATTTTCTAATTAATTTTCTAAGTGAACTTTATAACACATCTGCTACGGGGAACATACTTGCGAATTTTAGTGCACAATTTAGTTTAATTTATAGTTTAACATACTGGAAAACCAAATAAAACCTAACCTGAAATGTGCCAAAACTGGAGCACTGGTCACATTTTATGTTGTAGCCCCCCCAACAACTTTCTCTTAAACTGAACATGTAATTGTACCAGGGGTGTCGAGACTGTATATGATATATAACTATCTACAAAATATACTGCAATTATATATTTATAGTAATTTCTTGTCCCATTATTTGCCTTAAGATATGAGCATCGCTTTTTAAATGTGAGGTTCAATATTAGTTACTCTTTGCTAATAGCTACACTAGCATACGTGAAAATATTAGCTTTTTAATACTATTTTACGAAAACTAGGGCAATCGTCACTTTGCATTAGGCTCACTTTGGCTAGCTTACTGAACACTTTGTACCATCACTGACATAGCAGACACATTCAGAAGCTATCAAATAGCACAAATTAGACAACCTTGTTTTAAACCAGCAGGACGTTTCCAACATGTTTTCATTTTTACAGCAGTCGCGAGTGACATGAGTGTGATTTATACATGATTGTAGTCGCATAACATTCTTTAGGGATAAGGGATGGAGAAATGGAGGGATGAGAGAAGGAGCAATAAGGCGATGGAGAAATGGAGGGATGAGAGGTGGAGAAATGGAGGGGTGATGGATGGAGAAATGGAGGGATGAGAGATGGAAAAATGGAGAGATGGAGAAATGTAGAGATGAGAGATGAAGCAGTAGAGGGATGGAGAAATGGAGGGATGAGGGAAGGAGCAATAGAGGGATAGAGAAATGGAGGGATGAGAGATGGACAAATGGAGTTGATGGAGAAATGAAGGGATAAGGGAAGGAGCAATAGAAGGATGAGGGAAGGAGCAATAGATGGATGGAGAAATGAAGAGATGAGAGGGAGAATAGAAGAATGGAGAAATGATTGGATGAAAGATGGAGAAATAAAGGGATGGAGAAATGCAGGGATGAGAAATGGAGAAATGGAGGAATGAGAGGAGGAGAAATGGAGGGGTGGAGAAATGGAGGGTGAGAGATGGAGAAATAGACGGATGGAGAAATGGAGGGGTGAGAGATGGTGAAATGGAGGGATGAGAGATGGAGAAATGGAGGGATGACAGCTTGAGCAATAGAGGGATGGAGAAAGGGATGGATGACAGACGGAGCAATAGAGGGATGGAGAAATTGAGGGATGAGAGAAGGAGAAATGGAGGAATGAGGGATGGAGAAATGGAGGGATGACATGGAGCAATAGAGGGATGGAGAAATGGAGGAATGAGGAGTGGATAAATGGAGGGATGACAGATGGAGCAATAGAGGGATAGAGAAATGGAGGGGTGATGGATGGAGAAATAGAGGGATAGAGAAATGGAAAGATGAGGGATGGAGAAATGGAGGGATGAGAGAAGGAGCAATAGAGGGATGGAGAAATGGAGGAATGAGGAGTGGAGAAATGGAGGAATGAGGAGTGGAGAAATGGAGGGATGGCAGATGGAGCAATAGAGGGATTGAGAAATGGAGGGGTGATGGATGGAGAAATAGAGAGATAGAGAAATGGAAAGATGAGGGATGGAGAAATGGAGGGATGAGGGAAGGAGCAATAGAGGGATGGAGAAATAGAGGGACGGAGAAATAGAGGGATGGAGAAATAGAGGGATGGAGAAATGGAGGGATGAGGAGTGGAGAAATGGAGGGATGACAGATGGAGCAATAGAGGGATAGAGAAATGGAGCGGTGATAGATGGAGAAATAGATGGAAGGAGAAATGGAAAGATGAGAGATGGAGAAATGGAGGGATGAGGGAAGGAGCAATAGAGGGATGGAGAAATAGAGGGACGGAGAAATAGAGGGATGGAGAAATGAAAGGATGGAGAAATGGAGGGATGGAGAAATGGAGGGATGGAGAAATGGCACCAAAGCACCAAAGAACTGCAGGAAGTTCAAGGTGAAGCTCATAAGAAGCTTGTGAGTGTTACATCTCGACATCGTTACACTGTCTCTGCTGTTTCATGGTGACACGGTTTAAGTTTGATGACTGTGTAGTTCTTTGGTGCTTTACTCTAAATGTGTAATAATTTGCATATTTGATTAGATTTTTGTCCGTCCAGTGTTTGTCCACTGTTCTCTAGCTCTGATAACGCTATGAGGGAGTGGGCGGTACTGCATTCCTGAAGTTTCCGGTTTTGTGTTGTAACTCGGGGACAGAGTGGGAGTGTATCAGACCACACAGCCCCCCACACCACCCCCACCCCAAAGCGGAACATTCCAGTGCCCCTGGCCTGACTGGCACACCGAGACTGGACTGAACTCTCTACCCTCGGGCATTCCTCACCTAAACACTGTGCTTGCACCGTCACTAAGGCTGACCAGAGCTCATCACTAAAACCACACTTCAGAGTGTGGAAGTGGGAGTGTTTCACTGAACTGTTTAACTCTTTGTCTCTCTCTCTCTCACTCTGTCTCTCCCTCTCTTGCTCTCTCTCTCTTATACTCTCTCTCTCTCTCTCACTCTCTCTCCTACACATTCTCTTACTCTCTCTCTCTCTCTTATACTCTCTCTCTTGCTCTCTCTCTCTCTTATACTCTCTCTCTCTCTCTCACTCTCTCTCTCTTACACTCTCTCTTACTCTCTCTCTCTCTCTCGCTCTCTCTCTCTCTCTTATACTCTCTCTCTCTCTCTCACTCTCTCTCTCTTACACTCTCTCTCTCTCTCTCTCTCTCAGTGGATGTTTCTGAGTATCTGGGCAGCATCCTTGGTAACTTTTCTACAACCAGAACCAGACAGAGGAAT